TTTTTTTTGTGAAACCCTATAAAGCAATTTTCAAAGGGATTCTCAGACAGCTCCCAGCACAAGTTTTTCAATGGTATTCGATTTGATCATCAAAGGAAAGAACGTTTCTGCGCCACATAGTTACGCCCAGAGCTTGCTCAATGATTTGAAGATGATGAATGCAGGGATTAAGCAGATTAATGCCTCAAACTAACTTTCTTGTTTCCAGGTGGTTGGACAAGCTTGCTATCAAGTGCACAGAACTTGTGGATTCTAGACGTCCGAATGTCGAGCGCTTTGGCGTGAGACAAAAGGAATTGGAAACAGAGTTTGATAGATTAAGTCGACTAGGTAGGTTTAGCGATAATGTAGCGTAGAGTCTGTTTGGCTGTCTTTGAGAAAACCTGGGTATTTGCAGCCGAAGAACGACGTCGTGCTCTCGAGGATACTGTACATCTGTTTGAATACATGCGAGAAAGCGCCGATCTTGAGCAGTGGATCAACGAGCAGCTACAAACAGCAATGAGCGAAGAATATGGAGATGATTATGAGCACTTCAAAGAGCTCCAATCTCGTTTCGAGGAGTTCAAGCAAAGCGTGAGAACTGGTAGTGAACGATTTGTGTCATGTGAAGCAGCCGCAAACGCACTGCTGAGGAGAAATCCCCCATTCGGACGAGATATCTTGAAGAAGCAAGAGAAGTTGCGATCGGTTAGTTTTATAATGTCTGTTCTTGCGCGGTGAACAACTTTGCGGTCTACAGGTCTGGACTTTGCTTTTGGACTATATTGAGTCGAGAGAGTCAAAATTAGCTGCTGCTGAAGAACTGCACAGATTCAACCAAGATGTTTTGGAGCATGAAGAGTGGGTCCATGACAAGAGATCGAATATGTCGAAGGATATGGGAAGGAATATACAACAGGTAATCGTTATAGTTTGGATCGTGCCTGTGTCAGACAGAAAACTGTGTTTCTAGGCCAAGTCGCTGAGTCAAAAACACGAGACGCTCGAAAAGGAAGTTGCAGGGATGGAGCCACGGTTACAGGTGAGGTGTCGTATGATTCAAAATAAAATGACCGTTTTACGCTAATCTTTTTCAAAAATCTTTGTT